CAACAACTTGATAGATGAAGCTGTATACACAAGCGGACAGCGCTTAAAGGATAGAGCGTCTGCCCGGAGAGGGATAGAACTGTCACACACATACACACATGCGTGCACGTTGCTATACAAGTGCAATAATCTAAACGGGTGAGTGAGTGAGTTTTTACGCCGCTATTGGCAATATTCCAGAAATATCACTATCAACCCTACCCATGTGACCAACAAACGAAAGGGGGTTTGAACTTGGTTGAAGTAGCGATAAAGCTTGCCTTGCAAGAATAGCTCTCTAAATTCTTCTGTAGCTTAATTAATTGATCATGGTTTAAGTAAATGAGTGGATTTTGATTTTTAAAATGGTATTGATCTTTCACAAACTAAATCCATCGTAAGTCTAGTTTTCTATAGCTTCTCCTTTAAGCTAGCTATTTTTGTTTAACATTTCTGTGTATTGTATTTCAGTTTAATCGCCGAGTTTTAGCTTAATGTCGGAGGGTAAGGCTTGGGTGGGATTTTTTACCTTGATTAAAACCCATGCACACGGACATGGCAAAGCCAAACCCAGAATGCGAATACACGATCACTTAACGTCACACTCGCATGAATCTTGGATTCGAACCCCGACCAGTGACGCAACTATACGCAGCGAGCTCCGGCGCCTTAGCGGGCCATCTGCCCTTTAAGATTAAGGACGTCAATTAAATTTTAGTAGTATTGCAATCGCTTAAAATAGTTGGGGCCTCGTGCTCGTCACGTCGAAGACCCGGGTTCGACTGCCCACATTGGTACAATGTGTGGAGCTCATTTCATCTTCATGTAATACAGTTCATGTTCATGAAATACAGTTCATGTTCGAGAAATACAGTCCATGTTCATGTAATACAGTTCATGTTCAAGTAATACAGTTCATGATCATGTAATGTTCATCTTCATGTAATACAGTTCATGAAATACAGTTCATGTCCATGTAATACAGTTCATGTTCATGAAATACAGTTCATGTTCCAGAAATACAGTTCATGTTCATGTAATACAGTTCATGTTCACGTAATACAGTTCATGTTCATGTAATGTTCATCTTCATGTAATAAGATTCATGTAACACAGTTCATGTTCATGTAATGTTCATCTTCATGTAATACAGTTCATGTTCATGTAGTGTTCATACTTCATGCAATACAGTTCATGTTCATGTAATGTTCATCTTCATGCAATACAGTTCATGTTCATGTAATGTTCATCTTCATGCAATACAGTTCATGTTCATGTAATGTTCATCTTCGTGTAATACAGTTTATGTAATACAGTTCATGTTCATGTAATGTTAATCTTCATGTAATACAGTTCATGTTCATTTAAGACAGTTCATGTTCATTAAATACTGTTCATGTTCATGTAATACAGTTCATGTTAAAGAAGTACAGTTCATGTTCATTTAATACAGTTCATGTTCATTAAATACTGTTCATGTTCATGTAATACAGTTCATGTTCAAGAAGTACAGTTCATGTTCATTTAATACAGTTCGTGTTCATGTAATACAGTTCATGTTCATGTAGTAGTTCATGTTCATGTAATACAGTTCATGTTCATGAAATACAGTTCATGTCCATGTGATACAGTTCATGTTAATGAAATACAGTTCATGTTCATTTAATACAGTTCGTGTTCATATAATACAGTTCCAGTTCATGAAATACAGTTCATGTTCAAGTTCATTTAATAAATTCCATGTTCATGTAATTCAGTTCATGTTCATAAAATACAGTTCATGTTCATGTAATACAGTTCATGTTCATGTTATACAGTTCATGTTCATGTTATACAGTTCATGTTCATTAAATACAGTTCATGTCATGAAGTACAGTTCATGTCACTTAATACAATTCATGTTCATGAACTACAGTTCATGTTCATGTATTACAGTTCATATTCATGAAATACAGTTCACGTTCATGAAATACAGTTCATGTTCAAGAAATAGTTTATGTTCATTTAATACAGTTCGCGTTTATTTAATACAGTTCATGTTCATGCAATACAGTTCATGTTCATGAAATACAGTTCATGTTCATGTTCATTTATTACAATTCATGTTCATGTAATAGTTCATGTTCATGTAATACAGTTCATGTCCACGTGATACAGTTCATGTCCATGTGATACAGTTCATGTTCATGAAATACAGTTCATGTTCATTTAATTCAATTCATGTTCATGCAATACAGTTCATGTTCATTTAATACAGTTCATGTTTAGAAAAAAAGTTCATGTTCATGTAATACGGTTCATGTTCATGTATAGTTCATGTTCATGAAATACAGTTCATGTTCATGTTCATTTAATACAATTCATGTTCATGTAATACAGTTCATGTCCATGTTCATTTAATACAATTCATGTTCATTTAATACAGTTCATGTTCATGAAATACAGTTCATGTTCATGTTCATTTAATTCAATTCATGTTCATGCAATACAGTTCATGTTCATTTAATACAGTTCATGTTTAGAAAAAAGTTCATGTTCATGTAATACGGTTCATGTTCATGTATAGTTCATGTTCATGAAATACAGTTCATGTTCATGTTCATTTAATACAATTCATGTTCATGTAATACAGTTCATGTCCATGTTCATTTAATACAGTTCATGTTCATTTAATACAGTTCATGTTCATGAAATACAGTTCATGTTCATGTTCATTTAATACAATTCATGTTCATGTAATACAGTTCATGTATATTTAATACAGTTCATGTTCATGTATATTTAATACAATTCATGTTCATTTAATACAGTTCATGTTTAGATATACAGTTCATGTTCATGTAATACAGTCCATGTTCATGTAATACAGTTTATGTTCAGGTTATAGTTCATGTTCATTTAATACAGTTCATGTTCATGAAATACAGTTATGTTCATGAAATACAGTTCATGTTCATGTAATACAGTTCATGTAATACAGTTCATGTTCATGTAATGTTCATATAATACAGTTAATGAAATACAGTTCATGTCCATGTAATACGGTTCATATTCATATGATACAGTTCATGTTCATGTAATACAGATCATATTCATATAATACAATTCATGTTCATGTAATACAGTTCATGCTCATTTAATACAGTTCATGTTATGAAATACAGTTCATTTTCTTGAAATACAGTTCATGTTCATGTAATACAGTTCATGTTCAAGAAATACAGTTCATGTAATACAGTTCATGTTCAAGAAATACAGTTCATGTAATACAGTTCATGTTCATGAAATACAGTTCATGTCACTATATCCACAACCAATGGTTGCACTCTTAGTCATCCTACTTCCCTTAGTTTTAATTAAAGTTTACATGATACTCCCCGTGGAGTGTTCGGTGTTTCCTTCCAAGAAGCTGACCATTGGACAACTGATGTGGTCTCACTCTTCATACGGTTCTCAAAAGATCAATGGCCGAATTTGATCATGTTTCACCCCTTCAAGAAATGTCAATTCGTGTTAAGTATCCTTGTTCCACACTTATTAGTATTACCTAAATTGTAAAGAGGCATAGAGGCGTCACCACGACCTGACCCTACAGCTTTACAGACAATCCCCAACAGATATAGTAATACACTGCCAAAATACAATTCTTATTAACTTTGATGTCCAAGAAGAAGGATTGCCATCTCAAACTGTCTGACATGCAAGACTTTGTACTGAAAGCAATTATCTTCATGTTAATGATTACAACGAACCATTTTGGTAAACCACTGTAAGTTTCAAGCATCATTAACAAACTGCTCCTATTTCTTCGCGAAGGAGCGTTGTCAGTTACGTGTAGTCATTACGGCACCAGCACTGGACACATGTTAACATTGCCTTAACATGTAAAGCGCTGAGGTAGTAATTGCCTTTCAATACACTATAGGCGCTTGCTGTATAAACATTGTTTAAGAAATTACTAAGAATAGAAGCACCACGTGGCACCATGTCCTGACGTCCTAAGAGGTATCTTAAGCTTTACCTCTCCTCTAAATCAAAATTATTTATTGAAATGCACCAAAGAACGGTAATGCTGTATTTACCTACAAGATTTGAGGCAAGTGAAAGTACAGCAAGATGTCAAATATGATGTATAGCTTCATCAGGGAGTAATTCAAACGTCGACCCTTTGCTACAAAACAGTCGCAAATCAATGTTTAGCTGACACAAATTGTCTATCTTACTGATAGTCGTTTTAGATTGTGTGAATGTGAAAGCAACTTTATTAAACAAAGTCCAGCATGAAGTGAAATGTCAAAGATTAGGACATCTTGCCCATCGTTGTTCTGAGAACATGTACAATTATGGTCATCTGTAGATTTGCTTCAGTCAGTTTGTCAGCATCAAGACTATACTTCATAATTCAAAGAAACAGGGGTAATAATAGCTCCAATTTTGGGCCCGAATTGCCCAGGCGGATATAGAATTACGCCAAAAATGTATGGGAACTTTGTCTGGATGGCTAGAATTAGCCAAATGATTTCTTCATATTACTTGGCCGATGTCGATAGACTTGGCGGTAGGAATCGCTCTGGCACTTTGTACCGCCAAAAGTCATTTGATTTCTACATGTTATTGATTGGTACGTGGCTCTTTATTCGAGGCAAAACATGGATGACGGTGAACCTTCATTAGCCGGTGATTGAAGCTTGAGTGGTGAATACCTTCCCCCACCCGCTCAACCGTTGTCTTTCATACGTCTGCCACCACATTAGATCTGATGCAGTTTTAAGTAGCTTAGACTTTTTGAAAATTCGCAATTAAGAACAAAAAGGGAGAGAAGACCTAAGGGGGGTAACTCGTGAATTCCCCTCAAGAAACAAAGAAGCGGAGATCGTTAACCGGTAATTCGATGATGCCCTTTTGCGATAAGAGTGTCTTATTGTCGTAGGTGAACAAGGATAGGACGTAGATGCTTTACATACCGACGGTTTCATATCTAGTCTCTGTACATGTATTTGCTATGCTTGGTTAGTTCAGCGATGATAGCGCACTCCTAATGAACAGTACGAGCAGACGACACACCAATCAATACTTTCGACAGCTGCGGCGCGGGTCCCGCTCTACCCACGGTTTAATAAAGATTCCTCGCCCGGTCCAGAGGTTATTTCAACAGGGAAACCTGGTCGCCCAAGGGTGCCTAGCTCTCTGATTTGCCAAAAGAGAAAAGCCTTTTCAAAAGTCTAATCTCAGTTCCTTTGGATGGGTTATTGAATTGTTCCGTTGTGGCTACACAGAAGACCGCGGAGGTGGTTGTATGCTCAGAGAAGGATTTTATTGCATTGGCGGACAGTTCAGTAAACTTGTAGAGATACTTCAAAAGTTTGGAGCACGCTTTCACGGAGCGAGGCGACTATCACTCTCCCATTGGAAGTCTAAAAACAGTTGCACTGGCTCATGGATACTTGCGTTTTGAGCTGTCGCTACTTGAAGTGGAGTATGAACTAGGAGGAGACGTAAATGAGGCGAGAGAATGGATGTTTTGAACTTGGGACTTCTTATGACAGGTGGGTGGACGATGAAGAGCGTTGTGACTGTTAAAGAGCATTCCTCATTAACACGTCTCTCGAAAGTTTAATTGAGCGTAGACATTCCTCGTAAATAGTTTTTAATAAATTGTGCCAGGTTTTTTTTCGATTGCTTCATGAAAAATATATTTTGAATGATTAATTACTGTAACTGGTTTATCATTACGTGTGTCAATGACATTTATTTGCATTTCTGTACTGATATTTTCCGTTTCAAGTATTCTGTATGATGCAATCGGAGGGTGTCAGTTTTTAATCGTGAAGGTAAGATTAGACTGTTCAGTTTGGACATAACATGTATCATATTGGTTGAAACGAGAACGATTAGGATTTGATTATCAAACCTGGATAAGAAATGTATAGACATTAACCTTTAATGATTTTGAATTCGTATAGATGAGGATACGTATATCAGTCACTTCTATGACGATTCGAATTAGTGTCAAGTTATTTAGATCATATCAAATAACGCCATTTATTTTCCTACACATGGATTATTTATTACCTATAACTGAATAGACCTATATGTCTGTTGATAGTACGTTCGTACCTCAGTATGTTGACGTACATGTAGAAGAAAGGTTTCAAGTTCAACTTGCAACGGTATCGTAGTGAACACCTAGCTGTGATTCCGTGATTTCATTGAACATACTTATTATGAAAAGTACTGAACACAACGTGTATGATTACAAAATGCATTTCGTCAATATGTGTTGATCGTCAACCTTAAGCTAATTGGGCATTGTAAGCAGCGCTTATCTGACATCGATTTCGTCTACATTACCTCATTAAACATATACATGTCTAATTTGAAGACCAGAACTGATTACGGCAAGCCAAAAACTATCATGGGACTAGGACGGTTTCCGGCCCAGCTCTCGGGACTCATTAGCATCCATAGATCACCGTCAGTACCTGGCCAATTTACCAACGCCTGTCATCCTGATTTCTCTTTGAAGTAACGCCCTGTAATTCCCTTCTCCTTCTTCGATTCACTCCCACACTGATGTCGGTTCACTTAAAATCTTCTTTCTTGTAACAATCCTGTAAAGTTTTATAGTCATGCATTACATACTCCATATACTATTAATGGACGATACACGTTACGTACATTTTGTGTCATTGGAAATCCTGATGTCTTCATTTTGAGCAGTGGAAAGCAATGACGAATGAGATAAACTGAGAGGTGTCATCAAAGAAAGTATCAGGGTGTCCGAGCCAAGAGATATATGACAGAACATCTCTATATGGTTAAAACAAGTGGACGGAACGAGAATTTAAATGCCACAAGCGAACTGAATGTTTTGGTGAAGAGACAAAATACTTTCGGAGTGATTTTCGTGAAATGTGTGTATAGTATAGTAGCAAGGGTTTGTCGTTGATAGCTTCACGTGAAGGTAGAGTATAGAACGTTGGGACTATATGTAGAAGAACATAACTTCTATTCATCTGGTACATGTCACAATGTATGTGTGTATGTGTGTGTGTGTGTATGTGTGCGTGCGTGTGTGCGTGCGTGCGTGCGTGCGTGTGTGCATGCATGCGTGTGTGCGTGTGCGTGCGTGCGTGCGTGCGTGCGTGCGTGCGTGTGTGTGTGTGTGTGTGTGTGTGTGTGCTTCCATGGCAACGTGCACGTAACGTAGCCCTGCCTTGGCAATGTACGTGTAGTTCAGGCTTGGCAATGTACGTGTAGTTCAGCGTGGGTAATGTACGTGTAGTTCAGCCTTGGCAATGTGCGTGTAGTTCAGCCTTGGCAATGTACGTGTAGTTCAGCCTTGGCAATGTACTTGTTGTTCAGCCGTGGCAATGTACGTGTAGTTCAGGCTTGGCAATGTACGTGTAGTTCAGCGTGGGTAATGTACGTGTAGTTCAGCCATGGCAATGTGCGTGTAGTTCAGGTTTGGCCATGTACGTGTAGTTCAGCCTTGGCAATGAACGTGTAGTTCAGCCTTGGCAATGTACGTGTAGTTCAGGCTTGGCAATGAACGTGTAGTTCAGCCTTGGCAATGTACGTGTACTGCCTCAGCCACAGCGTTCCGATAATGCTTCTTAGTTTCTCAGATCCATAGTTGAAACGTCTAAGACCTGCAGCACTTATGGTTTTTCTCTTACTGTATGCTGACACGATGGAATATAAATCAAATACTGCTGATAGCGACAATGAACTCACTCACACAGTCTAACTCTATTATTGTTATGTTCAATGAACTTTAATATCACCATGATCAAGTAGGAAAAAAACGACACAAAATGTAACTGAAGATAATGCTGTACCATGCAATGGAAATATGTATTATTTTTATTATGACCTGCCTCGAACATCCTTATCTTTGCACATATTTCGTACCTTGTACCTTGTATATACTTCGTGTATCACATGTACCTTTCACCTACTTCGTGTATCACATATACCTTTTCACAAATTTCGTGTATCACATGTACCTTTCACATTTTCGTGTATCACATGTACCTTTCACATACCTCGTATATCACATATACCTTTCACCTACTTCGTGTATCACATGTACCTTTAACATACTTCGTGTATCACATGTACCTTTCACTTACTTCGTGTATCACATGTATCTTTCACATACTTCGTGTATCACATATACCTTTAACATACTTCGTGTATCACATGTATCTTACACATACTTCGTGTATCACATGTATCTTTCACATACTTCGTGTATCACATATACCTTTAACATACTTCGTGTATCACATGTATCTTTCACATACTTCGTGTATCACATGTATCTTACACATACTTCGTGTATCACATGTATCTTTCACATACTTCGTGTATCACATGTATCTTTCACATACTTCGTGTATCACATATACCTTTCACCTACTTCGTGTATCACATGTACCTTTCACCTACTTCGTGTATCACATGTATCTTTCACATACTTCGTGTTTCACATGTATCTTTCACATACTTCGTGTAACACATATACCTTTTACATACTTCGTGTATCACATATTCCTCGCACATACTTCGTGTGTATCACATGTACCTTGTATATATTTCGTGTATCACATGTGCCTTTCACATACATCGTGTATCACATATACCTTGAATTTATTTCGTGGATTGCATGTGCCTTTCACATACTTCGTGTATCACATATACCGTACACAAACATCGTATATCACATATACTTTGTATATACTTCGTGTATCACTTGTACCTTGCACATACTTTGTGTATTACATGTACCTTTTACATACTTCGTGTATTAAATGTATCCTTCACATACTTCGTGTATCACATGTACCTAACACATGCTTCGTGTATCACATATACCTTGTATATACTTTGTGTATCACAAATACCTTGTATATACTTCGTGTATCACATATACCTTGTATATACTATGTGTATCACATGTACCTTGTATATACTTCGTGTATCACATATACCTTAGACATACTTCGTGTATCACATATACCTCGCACATACTTCGTGTATCACATATACCTTACACATGCTTCGTGTATCACATATACCTCAGACATACTTCGTGTATCACATATACCTCGCACATACTGCGTGTATCACATACACCTTTCACCTACTTCGTGTATCATGAATACCTCGCACACACTTCGTGTATCACATACACCTTTCACCTCTCCGTGTATCACATATACCTTAAACATACTTTGTGTTTCACATGTACCTTTCACATATTTCGTGTATCACATGTACCTTTCACCTACTTCGTTTATCATAAATACCTCGCACACACTTCGTGTATCACATGTACCTTAAACATACTTCGTGTATCACATGTACCTTTCATCTACTTCGAATGTCATGAATACCTCGCACACACTTCGTGTATCACATGTACCTTAAACATACTTCGTGTATCACATGTACCTTAAACATACTTCGTGTATCACATGTACCTTAAACATACTTCGTGTATCACATGTACCTTAAAGATACTTCGTGTATCACATGTACCTTTCACAAACCTCGTGTATGACCTGTACCTTTCACATACTCGTGTATCACATGTACCTTTCACATACTTCGTGTAACACATGTATCTAACACATACTTCGTGTATCACATATATCTTGTACATACTTCGTGTATCACATGTACCTTTCATCTACTTCGTGTGTCATGAATACCTCGCACACACTTCGTGTATCACATGTACCTTAAACATACTTCGTGTATCACATGTACCTTAAACATACTTCGTGTATCACATGTACCTTAAACATACTTCGTGTATCACATGTACCTTAAAGATACTTCGTGTATCACATGTACCTTTCACAAACCTCGTGTATGACCTGTACCTTTCACATACTCGTGTATCACATGTACCTTTCACATACTTCGTGTAACACATGTATCTAACACATACTTCGTGTATCACATATATCTTGTACATACTTCGTGTATCATATATACCTTGTACATACTTCGTGTATCATATATACCTTGCACATACTTCGTGTGTCACATATACCTCGCACATACTTCGTGTATCACATATACCTTACACATGCTTCGTGTATCACATATACCTCAGACATACTTCGTGTATCACATATACCTCGCACATACTTCGTGTATCACATACACCTTTCACCTACTTCGTGTATCATGAATACCTCGCACACACTTCGTGTATCACATACACCTTTCACCTCTCCGTGTATCACATATACCTTAAACATACTTTGTGTTTCACATGTACCTTTCACATATTTCGTGTATCACATGTACCTTTCACCTACTTCGTTTATCATAAATACCTCGCACACACTTCGTGTATCACATGTACCTTAAACATACTTCGTGTATCACATGTACCTTTCATCTACTTCGTGTGTCATGAATACCTTGCACACACTTCGTGTATCACATGTACCTTAAACATACTTCTTGTATCACATGTACCTTAAACATACTTCGTGTATCACATGTACCTTAAACATACTTCGTG